ACCACAGGCAAGGCACCTAGCCTTGAGTTTCTAGCCTCAAGTTTCCTCATCTGAAAACTGGGAAGGATAGCATTTGTCTCCTAAGAGTGACTGTGAGGATAATCTCAGCTCTCATGGGGAGGAAGCAGGGGGATTAAAAATTCAAGGAGCCAGGCTTGGTGTCTTTAAACCTAGCACTCTGGAGGCAAAGGCAGGCACTTCTCAGTGAATTCAAGGCCAGACTGATCTACTTAGAGAGATCCATGCCAGCCAGAGTTACATAGTGAGACCCTGTCTCCAAAAACAAAACAAAACAAAAAAACCACCACCACCACCAACAACAACAACGAAGAACTCAAGATCATATTTTGCCATATAATGAATTCAAGGCCAGCCTGAACTACGTGAGACCCTGTCTCAAAACAAAAAAGTGAAGCTGGGGCATGCCAAGTGTTTGAAGCAGCAGAAGCAGGTGGCACCCGTGGTTGCCGTGGTAATTATACCACACTTCCCCTTTCGATCTGCAATCCGGCTGAATCCGTGCCTCTAAGAACACCCAGGGTTTATAAAATAATGGCTGAGAGGCACTTCAACATGGCTCAGCTAAGGGCTCTCACTCTTGGACTGCATCAGTTCCTTACAGGAAGGCTTCTTGGGTCCGAGAAATACAGCTGGTCCTCGGGGCTGGAAGTCAAATACCTGTTTTGTCCACCAGCCAGTCCTGTAACGGTGGTTTTGACTCTTAGAGCCACACACCACGGATTAGGAGAGGCCTGCCCCACAGGACTTCTCCGGAGCCCTTTCAAAATAAGCATTCCTCCTCCTGCGGTCCGGCTGCAGGTTTGTCCCTGCTTCCCAAAAGCCTCTGGTACTTTCATATGGGGTAAGGAATAGCAAATGGATTATTCTCTTGTAACATTTCTTTTCTTCTTCCTACCCTAAAGAACATCCCACTGAGGAAATGTAAGCCGCAACTGTGAGACTGCAAGACCAAGGGCTAGGAACCTTTTCCAGTAGCAGAATGTCTTGTTTTGACACATAGTCTCACTCTGTAACCCAGATCGGCGTACAAATAGAGACAATTCACCTTCTGCCTACTGAGATTAAAGACCATGTCTTAGGACGGGAGAGATGATGGTTCAGCAGTTAAGAGCACTGGCTGTTCTTCCAGAGGACCAGGGGTTCAATTCCCAGCACCTTTGGGGTAGCTCACTGTGTACTGGAGTTGGTAGCAACTCCAACTCCAGTAAATTCAAATCCACTTCTGGACTCCCTAGGTACCAAGTGCTCATGAGGTACACATCCATACCATCACATGCAGACAACAAACTCAAGCAACTCTTCTACTTGAGACAGTCCCAAACTTGTAAACCTCCTGCCTCAGTCTCTGAGTTCTGGGATTATAGCAGATATACATCCATCACACCCATCTTAGTAGCAGAATTTTAAAATTCAACAAAATGAATCTGGTCTCCTTCAGAGCATGGTGAAATGTGCTCATAAATCCCACTAAAGAGGTGCAGGCAGGAGGATTATGAGTTTGAGACTCCTCCTTCAAGGCCAGTCTGGGTTACAGATGGAGACCTTGCGGGGGAGGGGTATCAGTATCCAAGTCCTTACCCTAGCCATCTGAGATCACCTGGTAGTGACTAGAACCAAATCTCTACTCTTGAGCTAGTTTTTTTTTTTTTTTTTTTTTTTTTTTTGGTTTTTCAAGATAGGGTTTCTCTGTGTAGCTTTGCGCCTTTTCCTGGAACTCACTCAGTAGCCCAGGCTGGCCTCTCGAACTCACAGAGATCCATCCGCCTGGCTCTGCCTCCCGAGTGCTGGGATTAAAGGCGTGCGCCACCACCGCCCGGCTTGAGCTGGTTTTTCTTCCTTCAATACCTTACTTCCTTTTGAAAGCCACCAAGAAACTGATCTGATATTGTGTCTCTTCCTTAGCCCTATTCCAAGAGAGCCCGGAAGAGAAACTACTCACCTCTTGTAAGTGTAGCCCAGGATGATGCCAACTCCAATGGCAATGATGATCACCATCATAGTAATGCCCAGCACATAGCCTGCGGGGGACAGGACACAAGGTCCTATTAGCTACTCCCCCGACAATCAGCAAACTACATCATCTGAAGAATTCCAACAAAGGCAGTGGAGGGGGGCGGGCAACCATACCCAGAGTTCCCAGGTCCTTCTTCTCCTTGGAGTTCATCCCCACACGCTGACTGATCCCAATCACTGGCTGCACCTCTGCTGCCTCACTCCTGGCTGGCAGGACATTAGCAGGAGGGAACACCTGTGCCTCTTCGTCACCTGGTGCATCAGACTTCTCTTCCAGCTGTAATGTAGAAGCTGCTGGTGCTTGGGAAGTGGCCTCTGGAGGTGAGGTGAGAAAATGCTCTCATCAGAGCCTACCCAGAGTGCATTCTACAGCTGAACCTGACCTGAGTGTTGGGGGCATTAGGGCAGGGGGTCCACCCTAAAATGCTCCCCTAGACTGAAATCAAACCCTGTCCCAGGCCAGGAGTGGTGGTGAACACCGAATTGACGAACTCAGGAGGCAGGGGCAGGAGGATCTCTGTGAGTCCCTGGCCAGCCAGGGTTGCACAGTCAGCCCCTGTCTCAAAAACAGAAAGGAAAAACAACTCCCCTGCCTGCCCCGGGGCAAGATCGGACCTGAAAGGGATGGGATGTGTACAAGGCAAATGTGAGGAAAGCATCTTATGGAACAGCGTTTCCTGTCTCCCACTTTGTCTCTTCAAGTCCTTAATATCTTCCAACACCCAGCTGGATTTGCCAGAGGGGTTCCCGTTTTCACGTCAGGAGACAGTCCACACTGAGCTCGAGATTCGTGCCAATCACAGTGTTAAATGCTTGACCTTGATCCTTTTGTTTAATCCTAGAGAACTGTCTTAGTTATCTGAAGTCTAAAAGCTTTGGATACAAATCTGGACACCCCCATGGCCTCTGACAGGTCTCCGAACTCCTGGGTGACTCAGTTCTTTCACACGGCTCCTTCCCGGAGGTTGTGAGCACCGAACCTGGCTCACGGCAGAGGGTACACCCAGCCAAGGCTAGCGGGGCGCTTTGCTGAAGAAGCAAGCTGCCTCCCACCGTTGTTTACAAGCGCTCGCGGAGGATGAGCTCACTCCGACTGCCGCGGCGGCCAATGGGCTTTGGGCTCCGCGGCCTGGAGATAGCTCTGACCAATCGGACGGCGCGAGGGCGGAACGGGGCGGGGCGGGCGTCGAGCGGCCGCACGTGCACGGCGGGTGGAACCGCGGCTGCTTAGCGCCCGGGGCTGGCGTCCCCTCCCCGGGGTCCCGGGTGGTTACCTGGACAGCGCACGTCCTCGCAAGGCCGCTTCTCGGGGACGCCGGTCTCGCTGCTGATGTAGCACCAGGGCCCACGCGGGTCCTGGTCCGGGTTCCGGCAGTAGTTGTGGTTGCCAGGGCCTGAGGCGGAGAGAAGAGACGTCAAGGGCCGCGGCCGCCGCCCTCCAACCCCGCCCGCCTCCCCGGGCGGACACTCACTGGGCTCGGTGGGCGACTCGCGGCCGCCTTGCACGGCCAACCAGTTGAGGCAGCGGAGACCCGGCGCGGGCGAGGGCTGGTCCTCCCGGTACAGGTGGCCGTTGTCCCAGAAGCAGCCTGTGAGGAAGAGGAACCGCCCGGGACCCTGAGTGCCGCTCTCTGGCCTGGCAGGGGGGCAAAGCCCTGTGTACCTCAGAGTGAAAGTGGAGAGTCGTGGCATGCCCCTAGCGGCATCTGATCCACAGACAACACTCAGAGATTTAGCTTTTTTTTTTTTTTAGCTGCACAAGTGCAAGGTGTTACTCTTGGACTTGGGACCACTATGGAGGTGCAGGAAGCCTGGCTAAGGTCGGTCGGTCGGTCTGTGGAGATGGCGAGTTTGGTTCTGGGCAGTCAGACCTGGAAGTCATCCCAGTGTTGAGAAGTCAATGTTACATAAACTTGATGTTCCCTGTCCACGGATACGGCCACCTTCTGCTAGTTTAACAGACACCACCAGCTCCCAAGGGAATGCCACAAAAGCCTTTGATTTAGTGAAGCAAAAGACCCAGCTGAGGGAATCTGCCACATCTCTTCAGCTCCCACTCCTCTCAGCGGAGAGCCACAGGAGGAAGTTGGAGAGGGGAGGAGGTCTGTGCGCCCGCCACAGCAAGCCAAGGGACTTTAAAAGGGCAGGACTCTGGGGATAGAGGCGATAACTCCCAAGCTCCATCCACTCATGTTCAGGGAAAGGGAAAGAGAAAGTGACTACTTGTCTTTGTTCTTAATGGCAAAGATGGAGCTGCAAGCCTCTAGCAAGGAAGGAGAGAGAGGGGAGAGGAAAAGCTTTCGTAGGATCACAAGAAAACAGCCCAAAGCTTCCTTCCCTGTCAGCCCTGCCGCGTTTGGGAAATGCGGGGCTCTACCCGTTCTGCTTCATTAAGTTGCTGCAGAAAGAAAGAAAAAATTGTAATCTCACCTCCAGATCCATAGGCTCCTGCCAGAAGCATGTTGCTGAGAAGAAATGCATGTACCCAAGCCAGCAGCATCCTCGCCTCTCCCGGCTTGCAGGTGACTGAACAGCCAGTGTCCAAATGGGGTCTCCTTGGCCGCGGTTTTGCCTCCTCGTTCCCAGCCTTGCAGTCAGACCGGCCCTTGTTATGCTCTTGTGGTAAACAGCCTCTCTTTAGAACTGGGAGCTTCCCAGCTAGCTTGCTGCAGCCGAGGTGTTTTTCAGCTGAAAGGCGCCCCCTGGGTCCTAAGCCTCCTAGACCATACCAGATCACTAACCCTGAGCCAAGAGAGGAACTCAGCCAAGTCAAGAGTGGCAGGGAGGTTCAGCCTCTGCTTAGCAGCAGATCCGTTTGAGACCTGCGCGACCGCATCCCCAGAGCTTTGCTTCTCTTCTTTTTCCATCTGTGAGTACAGAGTCATCGTGTCAGAAGGCATCGCGGAGTGGGGTGGATTCCCAGCGCTGAAGCACACACAGCACAGTAGTTAAAGATAATGCTCGCTACAAAAGCAGGAGGCGTTTAAAACCACAAAGGCAGCACAAATCAGAAGAATATCTGCCTGGAAGCAACTCTCTACCCATTTGTATATATTTTAACCGTACTTTGCCAGGGTCAGGTCAGTCACATTCCTTTACTCACATTTGAGGTTTGGGATAGCCATATATAGTAGGAATGCAGAAAGGGTATCTTTAGTTGAAAATACATGTTATACAAACATTGGATTTGCTAGCCATATTGTAAAGTCTGCCCTTTCTACCAGCCCTGAAGCTAAGTAACATGTCTCCCCGCACCAGTCTTGTGGGAGATCCAGTTGCAGTAATTTATACCTGTCATTAAACCACATTCACGTAACTTGGGGCCTTTGGAGTTAGGAAAAGGGCCCTCTTTCTATTTGGCTGGCAGATGAAGTTCCCAAGCAGCTTCAGTAAACTGAGAGATAGAGCAGAGTGATTTGCCAAGACTACCTTGTGACTCAGGCGAATCCCAGAATAGAAATGGGAGATTCTGTTTTGATCTTGCCACAATAATGTAGGGAGGGGGAAATAACACCACTAAATAAGTTTTGTAGACTTTATCATAGTAGAAAGCTGATGTGATTCTACCTAATTAGAAATGATTGAACCCTGAGGTGTATTTTAAAAGAAAAAGGTTTATTTGTGTGTCTATCCGTGTGTGCACTCAAAGACCACAGGAAAGCTTCAGGTCCCCTAGAACAGTGGTTCCAGGCAGTTGTGGGCCATGGGATGTGGGGGATGTGGGCACTGGGAACTCAACTCAGGTCCTCTGGAAGAGCAGCAAGTACTCCTGACCTCTGAACCATCTCTTCAACCCGCCTGAGGTGTTTTTTAAAAACATGTCGTCGGGGCTGAGAGATGGCTCAGTGGTTAGGAGCACTTGTTCTTGCAGAGGACCTAGGTTCAGTCCCCAGCACTCAGCTCAAGACCAACTGTATCCAGTTCCAGGGCATCCAGTACCCTCTTCTGACCTTCATAGGTACCAGACATTCACCTAGTACACATCATACATGCTGGCAAAATACTCATACAAATAAATGCCCCCCAAAGGAATTTGCTTGTGTGTGTGGGGGTGTTAACACATGAGTGTGTGGTATGTGCCCATGTGTGCAGATATGAAAGCCAGAGCAGGACGTCCAGTGTTTTACTGCCCTGAAACAGGGTTTCTTACTGAATCAGAGCGGGACATTTAAGCTAGGTTGGCTGGCCAGTGATCCTCCTGACAGCACACTCCTGTTCTGGGGATCTTCCTGTCTGTGCTCTCCAGTGTTGGGTTATAAGGTATACATAGCCATGCCTGGCTTTTAATGTGAGCACTGAAGATTTGAACTCAGATCTCACAGGTGCAGAGCCATATTGTTGGAGGTTTTTGCTCTTTTGGGGGCCAGCCACCCAGCTCCCAAATAAATCATATTGGAGGCTTATTCTTACTTGTGAATGCCAGGCTTAGCTTGGCTTAGTTTCTAGCCAGCTTTTCTTATCTTAGCCCATCTTCCTTTTCCCGTTCCCTTACTTCTGTAAATCTTAGTTGCTTGCTGTGTAGCTGGGTGGCTGGCTCCTGGAGTCCTCCTCCTTCTCTGGCTGCTAGATCTTTTCTCAGTTTTCTCCTTCTATATATTCTCTCTGCCTGCCAGCCCCACCTCTCCTTTCTCTTGCCTTGCTATTGGCCAGTTCTTTATTAGACCATCAGGTGTTCTAGACAGGCACAGTAACACAGCTTCACAGAGTTAAACAGAGGCAACATAAACAAAAGTAACACCCCTTAAAATAATATTCTCCAACAGAGCCATGTCCTCTCCAACACAAACTAGAAAGTACAAGCAGCCTGTAATTCCTGCTCTGGAAGTGGAGGCAGGAGGATCAGAAGTTCAAGGTCATCCTTGGGTATGTACATAGGAAGTTTGAGGCCAGCTAGGCTACATGAGACCCTGTCTTAAACGTTAAAAAAAAAATTGCTAAACATTTTTGTTAATTTTACAAATACTTATTTTTTTAAACCTACTAGATGCTGGATGGTAGCAGTGCACGCCTTTAATCCCAGCACTGGGGAGGCAGAGACCGAAGGATCTCTCTAATTTCAAGGCTAGCCTGTTCTACAGAGCAAGTTCCAGGACAGTCAGGGCCACACAGAAAAACCCTATCTCAAAAAAGAAAGAAAGAAAAGAAAGAAAGAAAACCTACTAGATACTCGGTGGTAGTTTTAGATACTGGGACTTATTTGTGTGAACAAAATATTTGAAATCTGTACCCTCATGAAGTTTAAATTCTAGTTGGAAGAGACATGATATTTGAAAGGTCAGTATTGTTGCAGATTGTTACAGAAAAGAGTGATACAGAGCGAAGGACACATTACTTACCGGAGTATGTTTTACTTGCTAAAGAATGTATACAGGCTAGGTGCTATAACGCATGTAGTACATGCCTGTAACTCAGAGTCTGAGGACTGTGAGGCAAGAGCATTGCTTACCACTCTAGTTGGCAGCATGAACCTGGGAGAGTGGGGCCTAAAGACAAGGCAGACTAAAATCTCATGCAATAGCCAAATTTATTCAGAGCATCAGAAAACTACACTCTGAGGGTTAAAGAGTTACCTGAGTAATAGCCGGGCGGTGGTGGCACACGCCTTTAATCCCAGCACTCGGGAGGCAGAGCCAGGCGGATCTCTGTGAGTTCGAGGCCGGCTTGGGCTACCAAGTGAGTTCCAGGAGAGGCGCAAAGCTACACAGAGAAACCCTGTCTCGAAAAACCCAAAAAAAAAAAAAAAAAAAAAAAAAAAAAAAAAAAAAAAAAAAAGTTTTGTTCACAGAAGGACTATCAAGAGAGTGAAAAAAAAAAAAAAAAAAGTTACCTGAGTAAAGGTATACAATCACAAGACAAGCCACACATGGCAAAAACAAAACAAAACAAAAGCCATGTTTTCCCATAGAGGTACATGAATAACAACAGCTGAAGTATACTTTCTTCTATCTGCTACACCTGGGAAAAACATAAATACACGTTTCAAGAACAATTCTGTGTTTTGAAGAAACTGAAGTCATGGGACTTGTTTTCTCACGAGCACTCAGAATTCTCACACCACTCCATTCTTGGACTGTGTTATGACAGAGGGTCCTGAGTTTGAGACCACCCTGAGCTACATAATTGAGTTCAAGGCCAATTGAAACAATTTAGTGAGAGCTTGTCTTAAAAATAAAAATGTGTGCTGGGTGGTGGTGGCGCATGTCTTTAATCCAGCACTCGGGAGACAGAGCCAGGACAGCACCAAAACTACACAGGGAAACCCTGTCTCAAAAAACCAAAAAGATGGGCTGGAGAGATGGCTCAGTGGTTAAGAGCACTGGCTGATCTTCCGGAGGTCCTGAGTTCAATTCCCAGCAACCACATGGTGGCTCACAACCATCTGTAATGAGATCTGGTGCCCTCTTCTGGCCTGCAGGTGTACATGCAGACAGAACATGGTATGCATAATAAATAAATCTTAAAAAAAAAAGAAAGAAATGAAGAAATCTTATTAAAAAAAAAAACCGCCGGGCGATGGTGGCGCACACCTTTAATCCCAGCACTCGGGAGGCAGAGCCAGGCGGATCTCTGTGAGTTCGAGGCCAGCCTGGACTACCAAGTGAGTTCCAGGAAAGGCGCAAAGCTACACAGAGAAACCCTGTCTCGAAAGACCAAAAAAAAAAAAAAAAAAAAAAAAAAAAAAAAAACCAAAAAGATAAAAATAATAAAAACAAAAATGTGGTGCCCACAGGGACCAGAGGCATTTGACAGCATGTTTGGCGAAAGCATGGTTTTTAATTTTAGAGTAGCAAAGGTTCTTTGAGGTTGATCCCTCAGCACCTCATCTAATGTTCCTCCTCAGACTCTGAATGCGTGCCTCTGCTGGACTGTTTTTTCCCTGAAATCATTATAGACAGGCTGTTACAGGCCGGTCAGCACTTGCATCCTTTTCAGAGTATTGTCTACCATGCCCATGTGGAGATGCCAGTAATTCTACATCAGAAACCCCAGGGGATCTGACACCTCTTCTGGCTTCCATGAACACCAGGACTCACATGCACATACTCCTTAAACACACACACACACACACACACACACACACATACACATTAAAAAGTAATCTTAAAAACCAATGTGGGGGCCAGGCGGTGGTGGCGCACGCCTTTAATCCCAGCACTCGGGAGGCAGAGCCAGGCGGATCTCTGTGAGTTCGAGGCCAGCCTGGGCTACCAAGTGAGTCCCAGGAAAGGTGCAAAGCTACACAGAGAAACCCTGTCTCGAAAAACCAAAAAAAAAAAAAAAAAAACCAATGTGGGACCAGGTGTGTAACTCAGTGGCAGAGTGATCACCTAGCCTGGATAGGGCCCTGGGTCCATCCCCAAGACCAGGGGAAAACCCAAAACTATATATTAAGCATACATAAAATGGAAGTCCATGCTTTCAAAGAAATAGCCTTGGGTTTTTTTGTTTTTTTTTTTTTACTAAAATATTATTTCCTTAACAAGCTTCATAAAACTGTTGTCTATACTTTTGTTTTGTTTTCTGAGACAGGATTTCTCTATGTATCCCTGGCTGTCCTGGAACTCGCTCTGTCGACCAGCTTAGCCTCAAACTGAGAAAATTTGCCTCTGCCACCCAAAGGAGTGCAGCACTATGCCTGGTGCTGCCTGTACATTGTGCATATTCCAAAAATATTTTTTTAAGATTTATTTATTATGTATACAATGTTCTGCCTGCGTGTATGCCTGCAGGCCAGAAGAGGACACCAGATCTCATTACAGATGGTTGTGAGCCACCATATGGTTGCTGGGAATTGAACTCAGGACCTCTGGAAGAGTAGTGAATGCTCTTAACCTCTGAGCCATCTCTCCAGCCCACTCCCCCAATATTTTGATCACACTCTCAAGGGCTGCTTCGATAGTACACCATGTGAATGGACTAGCTGGAGTCATCCCATTACATCTCATACCTGTCCTGCTTTTGCTAACAACAACAACAACAACAACAACAACAAAACCTTAAACTAAAAAAAAAAAAACAAAAACCTTAAACTAAAACGCTTTACGCCTTCCTTATTGCAGCTCCATTAGCATGTTTGGTT